TCAAAATTCATTAACATCATGTCACGTGGATGATCCTGTGACTCACGATAAACTGCCGCCTTGTGACTCTGTTCACAAGCGGCACATTAAGTAGTAAGTGAATAATCTGATCATCTGTATAAATAAGTTACCGATCCTGTGAATTTTTTTTTCCGACTATCTAATCTTGGCAACCACATTTTCGGGAAATGAGAATGAATCCAGTGGACAAGTACTATTCTTGTTCTCTTGCTATTGATTAGCAAATTTAACCATTTATTTCCACTAACGTTATAAAATTTGTATAGAGTATAGTTAAAAGATTATCCATAAAAAGTATAATTCAAAATCTCATGAAAAGTGAAGAGACGAAGGTATTTAAATATTACTTGAAAATATAGCGAATGAATTATAACTAGCAATTCATTATTTTCAGGCCATTAATCAAATAGAAGAAGAGCTTAAACTTGTGAAGGAAAAGATTTCCGAGGATGATTTCGATTTAGATATTGTAGAAATAGATTTACCTCCCATTAAAGTCAAAAAACGGGAGAAAGTTCTTGAGGCTATTCACAACATTTTCCAAGCTGAAAGGGTTGATGATAAACTGTTCATCAAAGTGAGCATTTTTGTCTTACGATTATATGACTTTTATTTTCTGATCTTTGTACTATTCACTCAGTTTAATGGTGGAATGAAAGAAGAAATACATTTCGCATTGAATGTTTCGCTTCGTCAACAACTTCCAGGTTGGTGGGTGCAGAGTGACGTGGTATCGGTAGTTAATCGTAATGAATTTAGACCTGACGTAGGAGGATGGAACACACGACCAACGCGTCAGCAAAGGATTGCACCTATTATTAATTCGTCTCCACCTCCTTTATTATGGATCGAGGTAACAATTGTTTCCAGAAATGTGTGTTTTTTTAACGATCTTTTTAATTTGGTGAATATTACAGGTGACATTCAACAAGACTAATGATCGTGATAACGCATTAAATAAGATTTCATATGTTCAACCATATTGTCCAAACACTGAATTTGTATTAATTTCAATTCCTTTTGGAAATTCACCCTTTCGAACAAATCCAAATCCTGGCGTTGACTCAGTTGTAGCTACAGCACCAAGGGCAGAACGTCCCTCAAGAGCGCCCTATCTTGGTCATTGGGCCGTAGGCGCAGGTTTTAATGCAGTGCAATGGTACAAAATGCAATGGAACGAACATATTATTCTTGGTAGTGGGGCGTGCATCTATTTTAATGATGTACTTACCTACTTGTTATAAATATTTGATATTTCATTTCAATATTAATTAGTTTAGGTATCTTATTGTATAACCACTATGCTCAATATGAAATTTACATCGATTATGTAGTTATTAGCAGAAAAGAAAATTGGATTATGAAATTGCTGAAAAAAATTACGGTCCAATTTGATGAAACTTCATCATTTCTATTTTTTGATATCGAAACTACATAAAAAAAATTGACAGAACCTGATCCAGTATACAGTAAATAAATATCTAGCTCCTGCATCACATAGCATTTAAAAAAATGACTCATTATAAGTAGCAAATAATGGAAATTTGGTTACCTATAGCGGATTCGAATAAATTAATATCTAATCTTGGACGTATCAAGAATAATAAAGGTGTGATTTTAAAAGGAAATTTTTGCAAAAGAAATGGTTATATACGAATTGATTTAAGCATTAATAGTATTCGTACATCAACTGGCATCCATATCCTAGTTGCACAAGCCTTCATCTCTAACCCAGAAAATAAGCCTTACGTTAACCACATTAACGGCATCAAACATGATAATCGGGCTGTTAATTTAGAATGGGTAACTCTTAAGGAGAATGCAGAACGTAAAATATTCCCGAATATTGGTCGTGGTAGCTCTAGGCATATCATGCAGAAAACATTGGATGGTAATGTAGTTCAAATTTGGAATTCAATCTCTCTTGCGGGTAAAACGCTTAAAATCGCAGGAAATAGCATTTCAGAATGTTGTAATGGAAAGCGAAATACTGCTGTGGTTGGCGTTGGATGTATTACGAAGATTACATTGAACCAGACCTCAATGAAGAATGGGAAGAAATAGAAGTTAATTCACAAAAATTTAAAGTATCATCCTTAGGCAGATTTCAGTTACTGAATGATGTGATCACTCAAGGATCTTTGTATGCAGGCTATTACCGAATTGGCCATATTCACAAATATCGTGTTCATCATTTGGTGGCGCTAGTATTCTGCCCTAAAGAAGAGGGCAAAAAATTTGTGAACCACATTGATGGCAATTCCACCAACAACAAGGCGTCTAATCTCGAATGGTGTACACCAAGAGACAATATACAACATTCGGTGCGTCTCAGACCTCAGGATGGTTGGGTGCGTCAACATGCTGTCAAACAGATTTTTGATAATGGATCTTTCCAAGAATTTCCATCTTTAACTGAAGCACAACGTATAACTGGGATTGTTCAATCAAGTATCGGGAAAAGTATGTAGAGGATATCAAACTCATGCTGGTGGATATCGCTGGAAATATATATAAGCTATGCCACACGATAAACTTTGAATAATTCATAAGATACCAACTAACGAAAAAGCATAATTTTTATTTTTTTTTTGTTATTGTTACATTTTTGTGATTAAGATAAAGATACCAACTAATAAAAAAGCATACTGTAAATTTTATTTTTTTTTCATCGTTACAGCTTCGTGATATTTACTAAATAAAAGGTAAAATTGCTGACCTAGCAGGTCAGCATATCACATGATACAGTAGCGCAGTATATGTATAATTTTATGATTTAAAGCTATCTATAATATAATCGATGTTCTTCCAACTTAATTTTGAAATAGTTAGTGCCGAATAAGATTTAACCCGTTGCATTTTATCAACACTAATTTCAATGAAAAGTGCATATATTTTTTGGGCTCTTTCTGTTTGTTTCCAACGTGTAGTATCATTAATCTCTTTAGGTAGTTGGTCTTTTACTTATTTATCTACTTTACTTTGAGTAGGGTTGTTAATGGGTTGGGTTGGGTTGGTTTGGGTTGACCCAGTCTTCAACCCACTCCACTAAATTGGACCTACCCCAATGTTTTGCTCCAGGTTGCTCCATAGTACTCTGGGTTGCTCCAGGTTGCTCCAAATTTAAAAGCATAATTTTAAACCCACTCCAATTTGGGTTGGGTTCTACTCCGGAGTGCTTTGGAGTAAGCTACTCCATTAACAACCCTAACTTTGAGCCTTACAATCTTGATATTTTTTTCATTTTTATAATAATTCAATCGATCAGATAATTTTTTACCAAATTGAAAGTAACAGTTTAAAAGCTTTTGATTTGCAATATTATTAGTAGCTTCAGCTTTAACTATTTTTTTGTAAAGATAAGTATAACTATCTTTAGATAACTGAGGGAGAAATATTAAATCTTTATTTACACTATCATCTTTTAATTCTTTGATAGGTTTTTTTACTGTAGAAGATTCACCCTCTTTAGTAGTTAACTTCTGTCTTTTATCAGATTTATATAGTGATTCTATAATACATTTTGTGTTCTACTTTCATAAAGTAGAGGGTCTAATAATGGTAATACGGCCATTGGAGAACCTAATTCAAAGTTATCATCTAACCTTTCTGCAAGAGCAGAAGTTTTACTAGATTAAGATGATGATTCAGAAAATTTTTATTTGGATACTACTAGATCAATGATTTTATTACAATCAGATAAAGTGTATTTGTTTTTTGTTGTAAGTAAATTTTTTTTTATAAATTTTCTATAATATATATGTTTACATAAAAGTATTGTAAATGATTCAAAGTTAACAGATAATATTTTGTTTTCACATAATTTATATAGTGGCAATTCTGTAACAACAATATCTTGTACTATGTTATGTTTTGTTTTTTTTAAAAATATTAAGAGCGAAGTTATAAAAATTAGTAAGAAACATAATAATAATGAGATATTAAATATGTTTTTAATAACAAAATGGGTTTTATTCTTTGATGCATGATATACTAAGTGCATCAATAATACAAGTTTGATAACCTGTAATAAAATTATATCACAACAACAGTGATTAAAGTAGTAATTGTTTCACAATATAAATATATATAGTAATACAACTAATTTTTATTTTGATCTCTCTTCACTAAAATCCTATGCATTAGTATAGTAGTATACAATAATACAAGCACTATAAATAGAATGAAAGACAATAAAAATGAAGTTAATACAAGCAATGCAGATTCACTTTTTCCTCAGAGCCATAAAAGTATAATGAAATGTGTTAGTATAGATAAAAACATAGACGAAACTGAAAAAAATCATAAAATTAGTACAAGTAATACTGTAGATAATAATGAAACAAACACATATAAAGCCATGGAAGATATAGAAGTTAACATGGAAGATTACTTTGAAGAAGCATATTGTGGTTATGTAAACATGAATGACTTAACTACAAATTTCAAAGCGATTACGATAAGTAAAGGAGATTTATTTTCTGATTTTGAAGAAGCAGAACAATATATGAAGTGTTATACTGAGTTCAAAGGGTTTAAGACAAGGTTGGGCCAGAGTACCATTATCAAAATAGAAAGTGAAGAAAAAATTATGCAAAAATGAACAATTTACTGTCATCATGCTGGTCGATATCAACCAATGACTTCTATAAAATTAGGAAAGACAGTTAAAATAGAATGTCAATGGCATATTAATCTCTTATGACCATTAAAACAGAATTTGAATAACTACATCTATATAACAACACTAAATGATAAACATAACATGATATGTGTCTAGAGGCTCTTCAATTCGAAAAAAAAGGCATTCATAAAAGAAATGTGAGATGATACTAAGTTCTATATAAAACATTGTCATTTTGGTATGACTTTAATTAGGCGGGTTCTTAAACAAAGGTATCCTTCTCACCCTGTCTTTTCTAAGGATCTATATAAGGAGATTCAAAAATGTAAACCATCAGCACAATTTAATGAAGGTGATGCAGCAAGGTTCTATAAAGAGTTACTCAGTAAACAACATAAAGATCTCTAATAGTTTGTGAAAGTAACATAGAAAATTGAGACAAATACCTTAACTAAACTCTTTTGGATGAGTCCTAACCAAATAATTTTGTATCATAAGTTAAGCGAGTCAGTAGGTCACGACAATACGTCTGAAACAAATCACTACTATATGCTATTGTTCCTCTTTGTAGTTCGTGATAACAATATGAAGTCTCATGTAATTGTATAAGCTCTTTTAAGTGATGAGACTACAAAATCATATCAATAGACATTACGTATAATAAAGAAAGTAATAAAAGAATCTATATCCAGTATAATTATCACCAATAGTGATCCTGCTATGTATAGAGCAGTCTTAATTAAACTTCCAATTACTCATTACATTTTCTGTATATAGTATATCAAAGAGAATCTTAAAAAGATGCTATGTGCAAAATTAGATGCAAAATTTGATAGTTTTTACTCTGCATTCTGAAAGTGTCAGAATAGCGATACTCCTGAATGCTTTGAATAATATTGGGAAGAAATGATTAGTAAGTATCCATTAGCGAAACAATACCTTAAAAGATACTTATATAAACAATATAAGTTCTGGGCATGGGGGTTTATGGCAACATTATTTACTCTTGAAATTGAGTCAACTCCCTTTGTTGAGAGTCAAAATGTATGCATTAAATATGTACTTAAAAATAGTAACACTTCTCTTTGTGAGATTGGCAAAGTTCTTATAGACTAAGCTGAAAATAGAGTAAACAAAAGGAAGTATGAAGATATAGTTAGAGGGGTTCCTTCAACTACAAATAATGTAACTATTTTTCTAAAGGTAGAAGAAATTGTTACATATTACCTGCGCTCAAATATTGCATAATACTTGGTTAGTCAAATGAAAGAGTGTATTTATTATGCAGCATTCCGTTCAAATATTGAAGAAGTTGAAAATACACTAACAGGCAAACTATCTATAAATAAATTTTTTGAAGATGAGCCAAATAGCATTCTTGTATATACACTATTTCTTTTGGATCAATTGGATAAGGCTAATATTGAAGAAGTTTAGAAAATTTTTTGAATTACTAAGCATAATATAAATCATATAATTTTTTGTTTAACTGATAGATCATACAGCTGTATCTGCCTATTATAGCAAAAATTAAAACTAGTTTGTCATTATTATTTTCATCTACTAAATGTTATAAGGACAGCATATTTCAGTATGAGATTAATTAATATTCGATGGATTCCAAAAGAATACTGTAACAATGTATTAACTGCTTTGGACAATGGTTTATAGATGATAAACAAGCAAATTATAGCAACAAGTCTTTCAGATTGCCTTAATCATCTATTTGTGAGAATAATCAAGAACATGTAAATGATAACTTGATAGACTAGCAACTGTTTTATAGAAAGGTGTGGGGTTTAATTTGTACTGCTACTGATAAATGCCTGTTATATAATGATAATGAATTTGTTAAGATGATTGAAAATTATTTGGATGATATACACAAACATGAGTTGGAATATAACAAGGTGCATTGAGTAGGTATAAGTAAAAAAGATGATAATCTTGAAAAAGACAATAGTCTTGATGAAGATGATGACTTTGATGAAGATGCTGACTTTGACAAAGATGATGATTTTGACAAAGAAAATGCATACTCAAGTATTTTGCTTAAAAATCTTTTGGTAGTAGCTACTAAAGATAGATCAAAATCGGCTAGTCATCATATAAATAATACAAATCAACAATCAGCAAATAAGAAAAAGAGAAAACATGATACTAGTCAGCAATCAACAAATAAAAAAAGGTGTGGTTTAAATCTTTGTAGTTACTGTAAAGAATTAGGATATAATTTTGCTAGATTTTCAAAAAAGATTATGAATTAGATGGTTTGGTAACATGAATTATACTGTATATATAGCTGCTGCTTAACAATTTATATGACATTTGAATTTGCAATGCTTTAATGATAATATGTATATATATACTTGTACTAACCTTATATACAATTTTAGCATCAAGTATGTATAACACTATAGATAAGTTAAAACAAACTTTAAAGCAATATATATGTCATGTCTCAGATTAATGCTTGTCTCAGCTGTTAGAGTCAAAGTTAGATCAATCAATATTGATCAATTAATATTTTAATTTAGTGCAACAGAGGTTACCATAGTAAAATTTTGAAAAACATAAAGGGTGCATTGCAGTACAGGTGCACTAAATTTTAAAACCCATAGTAATATAATAAAAATTAATTTTTTAAAATTTAAAGAAAATAAAAACTCTTTCCTGTAGATCCCAATTTTAATAAGAAATAAAAATCATTACAACAAAACTCAGAAATAAATAATTAAATAACTAAAAACACAGTTTTGAAGACAGAACAACATCCACACACCACCAATTCACATTTCTAAGTAATCAAAATCAAAAGAAAACAGAGCAGCAAGAACTACACAACCA